TTCTCTTTGGCTTTTGACACCTAGTAAGATGTCGACTTCATTTACTTGATTTTATTTGTTACTTTGAATGTTTGTTTTTTTTATTATTGTATGGTTATCAATTGTACATATGTTTATGTTTATTTTTCTGTACAGCACTTTGGTCAACTTTGGTTGTTGTAAAGTGCTGAGTTTCGCGCGTTCTCGATTGAGACGGCTTAACAAGCCGTTTGCTTTCTCTGTCAGGGAATTGCTCCGGGATGTCCGCCCTTCGGCTGGTGACTTAGTTGAAGAAAACTTGCAGTGATGGCTGTTAACCTTGGCTCGGTTCGTGGGTTTTGATGTCCTTTGGGCTGCTGGCGCAACTAACCCACGTGGCTGAGTCCGAAATTCGGGGAAGCAGTAAAAGTTAACTCGACGGAATAAAGTTTAAAAGTACTTGGTCGTTCTTAAATTCAAAGTTGCGCGACTGAAACGGTCTGATAATTTTTAACAAACAAAAGAAAAGAAAATATAAAGCAAGTAAGTTGCTGAGAATAAAGGGAAAGCCAAAGTCGCAGCGTTTCGCGCTTGTGGCTTGAGAAGAACAAAGAAATCTTCGCGGCAATGCCGAGCCGGGCTCCTTGGGCCGTTGCTGGGAGACGGGATACGCTCCATTAGCGTGTAGAGCAGAGAGCAAGAGTGAAGTGACCAGAGAACAAGAGAGAGAGTGGCGTGTGTCGCCGTGTTTTGTTGTCTAGGGCGTGTCTCAGGAGGAGGGCTTTGTTCCCCTGAGAGAGGCTGTCCCTTAACTTTAATGTCTATTTTAAAATCTATTTGCGCGTATTTTAATCAAATACCTTCCCCCAATCAAACCTTTAAATGTCATGACAGTTATACCATTCTTAGCTTCAAGCATTTGATAAAAAGGAAAGGAAACAATTACTTAATCGTTGCAATGTGTTATGGTTTCGGACAGAACGGACCCAAACGCAACGCTTCTGGTTTTAAAGTGATTTATTAAGGGAAAAAAAGGGAGTTGAGGGGTTGGAGAAGGGGGAGAGATGGACACCAGGAGACGCGGGCGTGGAGGACCGAGGAGCTGGCGGGGCAGGAGAGGTTCATGCGAGAGGGCCGAGGGGGACAGGAGGCCGAGGTGGAAAGGAGTGTGGTGGCTGGCAGACTGGCAAGGAGCGAAGGGGAGCCGGGGGAGCGCTGTGGAGGAGACGGAGGTGAGTGGACCTGGCGGGGAAAACAGTTAGACAGACAGGATTAGTTTGGGGAAGCAGGAGACGGAGAAGCGAGCTTGGCGCGGGCGCACACCTTGCAGGCCGCCACAAAGGCCCGACAGTCCTTATCCATGGAGGGCCACCAGAACTGCTGACGCAGCAGGAAGAGGGTGCGGACCATCCAGGGGTGGCAACTGAACTTGGAGGCGTGCGACCATTGGAGAACACGGGAGTGGACACTCAATGGAACATAGAAACGGTTAGGGGGGCCAGTACCGGGATCAGGATCAGTGGACTGGGCGCGGCGAACGGCAGGCTCCACCTCCCAGACCACCAGAGGCGACGAGGCAGGTGCGTGGCATGATGGTGTCAGGGGGATTAGAAGGGGTGTCGGGGGAGTGGAGTCGGGAGAGAGCATCTGGCTTGGTGTTACGGGACCCGGAGAGGTAGGAGAGGGTGAAGTTAAATTGGCTGAAGAAGAGAGCCGGCTTGGCGGGAGTTCAGTCTCTTGGCGGTTTGGATGTAGGAGAGGTTTTTGTGAGCGGTCAGTACCAGTAAGGGGTGTTCTGCTCCCTAAAGCCAGTGCCTCCACTCCTCCTGAGCCAGCTTGATAGCCAGCAGCTCTCGGTCCCCCACGGTGTAGTTTCTCTCTGTGTGTGACAGCCGGCGTGAAAAGAAGGCGCAGGGGTGGAGTTTGGCGTCCTCATGGGAGCGCTGGGAGAGAGTGACACCAACGCCAACGTCCGAGGTGTCCACCTCTACAACGAACGGAAGGGAGGGGTCAGGGTTGGTGAGGACGGGGGCGGAGGTGAACAGGGTCCTGAGGCGAGAGGCCGCAGCAGCCTCCGGAGACCAGACGAAGGGAACCGAGGTGGAGGTGAGACGGGTGAGGGGGGCAGCGATGGTGCTGTAGTTGTGGATGAACCGGCGGTAGAAGTTTGCAAAGCCGAGAAAGCATTGTAGCTGTAGCTAGCAGCAACCGCCTGGATCTCCAACGGGTCAGCACGGAGCTTTCCCCCCTCGATTATAAAGCCGAGAAACTGGACTGTGGGTGTGTGAAACTCGCATTTCTCTGCTTTGACGAAGAGCCTGTTCTTCAGAAGCCGCTGGGTTTTGTCTTTTTTGGCAAGGAAAAAGAAGCCGGCCCCTAACGGAGACGAGGAGGGGCGGATGATGCTGGCTGTTAGGGAGTCTTTGATGTACTGCTCCATAGATTCCCTCTCCGGATGCGAGGTGACTGGTTGTACAGGTGACTAGATGGGAGGGGCGCGTCCGGGAGAAGATCTATGGAGCAGTCGTAGGGATGGTGGGGGGGTAAGGACAGGGCTTGGTCTTACCAAAAACTAGGGCGAGGTCATGGTACTCGTTAGGAACACCGGACAGGCCCAGCTGACCGAACGGGAGACGGAGGTGAGTGGACCTGGCAGGGAAAACAGTTAGACAAGCAGGATTAGTTCGGGGAAGCAGGAGACGGAGAAGCGAGATACACACAAGATCATAAAAAGCTTGAATATAGCAGTGGCACCAAGTCTGGAGCGGCGACGATCAAGCGGAGATTGAGTGGACAACCAGTGTAGAAATACTGGTTGAGATGAGATTGATTGCTGGTAGGTGTGGCAGGCAGAGGTGGAGGTTGATGAGGCACAGGTGTGGATTGTCAGCCGGGCTCAGCAGCGGAGAGAGAGAGGGAGAGCACACACACAGGGAGAGGGGAGGAGACACAGGGAGAGAGGCAAAACTCAGGGGAAAACAGAATGTAAGAAAAAAAAAGAAAAGGAGGAAGAGACAGGACACTCACCGTCAGCTGGGCTGCCACCACAACAGTAATGATTGGATTGGTTACCAGTTAAACACATTTTCAGGATTTCAGAATGAAAGAGACTTAACTCAATATTTCCTGGATAATATTGGCTGTTACACATTCTTACTTAGAGAATATAAGCAAGTTACACGAACATGGCATCAGATTACGAACAAATAAGTACAGAGTGAAACGTTAAAACAGCGGGAGAGGCATTAAAGAAACAGGGACCTGTAATACTTAGTTTGTCCTTTTGGGGGACACTGGTTCCACGAGAGAACAGTTGATCCTCTCACTAGGGAAGAAATGGTTATTTAACATTAAATTCGAGCTGGAAAATTAATTTAGCACAGGATAATATTTCTGTATCATGTTCTTTAACAAGAAACTATATAAACATGTTGAAGCATGGCATTAGTATAACATAAATTAATGGAATATCAGTGAGTATTGAGGACGATTAAAACACTGCAAATTAAATTTCTTTATGGATTCTTCTTTTCAACAACAACATGGTAAGATAACTACTCAAATGGAGTGGAGAGACCTGCTAAGTAACTTAACAAAGATTATTTAATTAAACAAGGTAATAGGCAAGTTATAAGGAAACAGTATTCATTTGTCCACAAAAAGGAATTCGAAGCAGTGTCCTTCTCTGGCGTCTGGAGTTCACACCTAGCTGTGAAAGTGAGAGGGCATGTTAAGAGTCCAAATTAATGGCTCTTTGGTGGGGTAGAGAGTCAAGACTGAAGAGGAGATCTTTGATGTTTGGAAGTAATCTGAAAGAGGAACTTTATTACCATGGTTACCCTGCCCTTTTGGTCTTGGGAGTGTTTAGAGGTTGTTTAGTTTATGGCTGCGGAGGTCCTCACAGCCTGGTTCAGGTTGAGGTTAGTCTCTGTGTAATGTTAAAATTGTCAGTTTAACAGTCATGCATAGAGTCTGTTATCTCAACTTCACTGGCGGTGGTAGGTTTTATGGCTGAAACTACCCAAGCAGCACTTGGGAGTGGAGCAAACCTTTCACCCCCTCCTTTGGGGTACTTCGGCTGTCTGTTGAGGGTTGATATCTCAACGCCCCTCCTATTTCTCTCAGGGATAGACAAAAAAAGAATTTGGGATCACCAAATTTATTTGATATAAAATGATCAAATCCACACTGGCTGTTCACTACACTATGTACACAAAAAGCCTATTTCTCTCAAACATTGTTCACAAATCTGTCAAAATCTGTGTTAGTGAGCACTTCTCCTTTGCCGAGATAATCCATCCACCTCACAAGTGTGGCATATCAAGATGCTGATCAGATGGCATGATATTGCACAGGTGTGCCAAAGGCCACTCAAAAATGAACAAATTTGTGAACAACATTTGAGAGAAATAGGCCTTTTGTGTACATAGAGAAAGTCTTAGATCTTTTAGTTCAGCAAATGATGAATGGGGGCAAAAACAAAAGTGTTGCGTTTTTAATTTTGTAAAGTATATGAATGATCCACAAAGAGTTAACTGCATTGAATGCCCTGCCTGTTGGTAGAAATGATAGTTTCCTCAATGAGTGGCAAATTATCCTTACGTATGGTGTGCAAGATGGCATTGCTAATTGTTCACTTGACAAGTAGTTGTCATGATTTGGTCTTGTCTGTTCTTTGTTTCTTTGTCTAGATCCTTGTTACTCTGTCATGTTTGGAATCTGTCTGTGTTACCAGTTATTTAGTCTGCTTAGTCTGTTCTGTGTTTTAGGTTTCAGTCCTGTTTGTTTCTTGTCTTGTGTTCAATCTGCCTGTTTCCTGTTCTGTTTAGGTTAGTCTAGTGTTAGTACAAGCCCTTTGTCCTGTCTGTTTGATTGCTTATCTTTGTCACCTGTGCTTCACTCTGTGTGTGTGTGTGTGTGTGTGTGTGTGTGCGCGCGCACCCAGTCTTGATTGCCTTATGTGCTCCACCTGCTTGCTCTCCCGCCCAGCTAATTTACCTGAGTATAAATGTGTCACTTCTTACCTGCTTTGGATGTGTGGCTTATCACTGGTGTTTGGATTCTGCCTGTGTATGTACATGTAAGCCTTGTCTGCAGTTTTTGTGTTAAATGTCACAAACTGCATCATGCTCTCCGGTGTATTGCATTTAGGTCCTGTTCTGCACTTGGCCTTCTGTGACAGGATTTTACATGTATTTTGATGGTGACATGTCATTTTAGGAACTTGGAACATCAGAGGCAAGTCAAGCTCATTTTAAAGCACGACACATCTCTCCTCGTAAGTGACTTCAGCTATTTTTGCCTTCATTAGGGTGGCTGCCTTCAAAGAGCTGTAGAACATGACAGTTTCATGCTTCTGACCCAAACTTGAAGACCAAATGTTAGATTAATTTGACAGAAAAGAAATAATAAATGTCTTTACCTTCCATGGTCAAACTGTTTGTATGTGATTATGGGTGTATGCTCATTTGCAAATGTGAACACATTAATGAATAGGTGTTTGATTTAGTGTGACAGATGGGAAATATTACTTTAAAGGGTTTTGTAGTACGTTCAATGGAAGGGACAGAGAGGTGTTGTTGCAATAGGTAAACCGCACAAACACATGCTCAGACGCAGGCAGTTGATGTGGATGGCAGCTTGACAGTGACTGTCTGCCCCCTTAATAATGTGAATGAAGGTTGCAAAATACATTTAGTGGCCCAGCATGAACTCTCACACATGTGAGAACCCTAACAACTGGGATTTATTGCTTTGTGCAGTAATAGTTTGACAACTTAAATTCAGCACTCAAATGAGGTAGTAGTCGTAATGGGATTAGAATCTGGAAATCGTCATTGATTCAACTTTATAAAAGCAGCATTTTGGCCAGCGCCACTTTCATCATGCTTGGCTGGTCCCTGTGCGTCATTGAATGTGTGCATGCATTATTGGTAAATGGCCTTTTTGTTCACTTTATTTTTGCTCTCTGAGCTGCTTATTCAAACAGAAGAACTGAATAGTCATAATTTAGAAACTACTCAGGTATGACACAATAGAGCAAAATTACTTCAAGTAGTCAGACATGGTTGACTTCAACCTAAGATCATTTAATATTCTTAAACTCATGAGATATTTTCACGTGAAAATTCAAAGGTTTTGCAGCTGAAGCGGTATGACAGAAGGCAATAGGGATATGATAAACATGGTTTGGTTAGTGGGCTATTGAGCTATATCGGGTGCCATTTGTGGCAACATGTTCAACTTCTTATAAAATCGATGTTACGACCCACGGGCCGTTTGTGTATATGGGATGTTGTGCTTGTGTGTTTTCCCTCTCTGCTCTAAGCAGGAACTTGCCCTGCCCCCAAGGCTGCAGCCAGCAACCTGAGGAGCGCAGCTGATTCCACTCTCCTAATCAGTGGAGAGTATCAGGGCTGGTGAAGGAAGCTGCTGTAGGTGAGAGTATGGTGGTCTACAGCAAAGACAGTAACCGGCAGTGGAACATTGGAAGTCCTGTGGTTAAGTGTAATGATTTACTGTTTTTGTTTTGCACTGTGTACTTGTGTGCTAGTTTGCTACCACTACTTTTGTGTTTATCACTTACCTTAGTTATCTTTTAAAAAGGACCCTTGTTGCTCGCTTCCCTTTTGGGAGTTGATTTCTGTTGAGTGTTAAGAGACACTTTCTTTGTTAATTATTGTAAATAATTTACCCTTTTCTTTGCAAGCTTACTATTTCGTCGTTTTCTTCTGCCCTGGAACAATTAATTGTACTAACCTCCTAGCCCCTGGGCTTCCATCTGAGGTTCGTAACAATCTTGGATGGGGCGAGATATTAAAACAATGTGCTACAGCTAACTTTGAAAATACTGAAGTAACTGTTATACATAAGTAGTTTTATGGACATTTAGTACTTAGAATGAACAAATTAGAGACTAGTATAGTGTACAGTGCTTGTGCATTGACTCATAACAGTTCAAAATAACACTGTAGCAGCATGACAGAGGGTCAGTGACCTTCTACGGGGAGAGCAGTGATTGGTGGTTATGTAGGGACTGAACCCTTCTATAGAATTTGACTTCTAACCCCGTGTTTTGTTACCTCTGAATAGTACTGTACCCTTCTATGGGTTTGACCTTTTACTTTGCAGACTTACACCCTTCTCTGTTACTTAACAGATACCTAAAACATGTCCTATATAAGCTATGTTTGATGTGCAGAGAGACAGTGGCCATCGGGCTGGGTCACTCTCCAAGCTGCTGCAGAGCTTGTAATTGATGCTGAACTCTTCTTAACTGACCTCTACTGGTGAATAACTCCCTTTTTCTCTTTATGCATTTGACACCACTTCACCTTTGACTATTGAACAGTTTCAACAAATCTGGCATTAAGGCAAATTATCTAACTTTATGGAGAAAGCAGGAGAGAGGGAAGGGAATGACTTAAAAAAAAAAAAAACATGAGGTGTAGGTGCAAAATCGAGCTCTGGGATAGAGCTGAAACTGATTTCGTTTAACATGTATTTTGCAGTTTCTCAGCTCAAATTATTTAGTATAACGCATACTGCAGAAATGTCAGTGTTAATTTCTCTCACTCGCAGACTTCTCCCTGCTACTGCTTATTTTCTTCTCTTCCTCCCCTCCCCCTTAGCCCTCTCTCCCTCCCTTTTCCCTTTACTTCCCTCCCACTTTTCTCTCTCACTGTAAAGAGCAGTCACTCTCTGCACTCCCCTTCATTTCCCGCTCCAACATGTTGGCAGGAGGAGAAAGAGGATGCTGCGCTCTACTCTCGGTGCGTTCTTGCCACCTCTCCGGTCAGCACATGCTGCCTCTGACTCAGCCTCAGCTTTCAGTTGTCTCCGCCTGAAGGACTTCAGAGAGGAGGTGGAGGAGGAACCAAAGGATACGCTGGAGATCAGGAGCTTTCACACCAGGGTCCCCAACAGGAACAACAACCGCAGGAGACCGGAACAGAGCAACTGCTCCTCATCTGTGGTGGAAACTAATAATACCTCAGCAGTGACCACATCCTCTGCCTCCTCTACTTTCCCTTCCTCCTCTTCCTCCTTCTCGGCTCCAAGATCCATGTGGCAAGAGGCAATAAGGAGGAAGCGGTATCTCCTGGACCGGACAGGGGAGTCTGGTGAAGGGGATAAAGGAGGAGGTCAGGAGAAGAGGAACAGGTCCCCAGATTGGCTGTATGAGTCCTACTACTGTATGAGCCAGCAGCATCCTCTGATTGTGTTTCTGCTGCTCATAGTGATGGGAGCCTGCCTGGCTCTGCTGACTGTGTTCTTTGCTTCAGGATTGGTAAGCTGCTCATTCACAACACACACACAGAAATGCATTATGCAAATAAAAAAAAAGTAAAAAATCCATACATCTTGGATAATACAAACATGGATTGCATTTTATTATCACTATAGCATATCACTGTCTGGGCTGTGAATTACGTTGAAATAAACGGCATAAAAATAGGGTCAAACACACTGGCGCGCGTGCGACACACACAAAATCTGCTGGCTTGTTAAACACAATACATGAGCTCCCCGCTCTCATAGACTCACACAAAAATGTGCACACACTTGCAAGCATGCTTGTGCAACACCTATATGCACGCACACTCACAGCATGCGGTCCTCATCGCAGCATTAATGTGAAAAGAAGGGTGAGATAAAAGTGAGAGGGGGAATGAGGGGCTTTGTTATCGCCTCATGGTTGACGGAACTACAGATCTGTTTCCCTCTGTCACTATTTTGACAGGGTTATCTTTCCTCTAAAACACTGAAGAATTCATTGATGTGAAGGCAAGGCACTCTAAAAAATAGACATTTTGAAGTTAAAAAAGCAAAACATTAAGTGCAGATTTTGACTGGCTGTGGTGTAACTCTTAAATAACCTACCTGACTAGATGCATCTAAAAATTTAATGATAAAAAAATCCATGTTATATTAGCACAATCGAATTCAATTGATTTTTGATAAATACTAACATTATAGCATATCACATTTTTGCATTAGGAGAGTACCTCTCCTGTCTCAGCTGAGTCTGCTATTAAGAAGGGATTACTCTAAAATACAGTGAAAGAGACAATTAGACAAAGAGGGCATTGACGCGCACACACACGCATCCCTCCACATCACAAATTCACTAGAACACCAGTAATCAATAGTAACACATGTATTTTAGCTAAACATGCACAACTGAAAAACAGAATTAAAAGTGTTGGATGCTGAAGTTGTTTTCATGCACCATAAAATACCACCAACTAATAGATCGGTCAGTAACATCAGTGGTGCAATCAAGACAAAACAGGTACTTTACCTAGTAAGTCAACAAATGAAATCCCCTATCTAAAATATTAGAAGAGGCAACAATCTTTTGATGAATAATATGTATGTTGGCAGTATTTGTGAAAGTTAATATCTCCAGTCTTGAGGAAAATATTTCCCTACAATCAGACACAAACTCGTGGGCTCACAGCGACCAAGCATCTCAGTAAATGCCTTTGTCAGGCCACTGCTCACTATACCTGTCCTACATCCTCTTTTCTTGATACTCTATCCTTGTTTTGGATAGGCATTACTTTTTTTCCCCCTCCTTCATCCTTCCTTTCTCTACATTCTCATGTCTGTGTCATCTCTCACCACCTCATATCGCTGTCTCTCTTTTATTTGTATCCTATCATCCCTCCATCTTGCTGGCTGGCTGACCTAAATCTTGTGCTGTTTTGGAGCTCTGCTCTGGGCGAGACAAACTCTCTGTGGCTCTTTGCAGCCACGCATATCCTCTCCTGTCCCAGTGCATTGACTGTGTGCATGAGACAGAAGGAAGGTGGGGGCGGGGGGCTAAAGCGAGAGAAAGATGGAGGTCAAATCCAAAGAGAAACATTGTGAGAGAGACTGGCATAAAAACATTTTGATGGTTAGGTCACTTCTGGAGGAATGAATAAGAACTTGTTTTAGTGATTAGTCACTGCAATTAATAAAAAAAACAACTTACATTTTTACTCACTGTTTTAAGAGTTGAAAATAATGAATTCATTAATTTGGATTATGCAGTGTAATAGTGGATACAGTGTTATAACAGTGGATATTTGGAGTTTTTAAAGATCCAAAATGAGTGGAAGACCAAACAAAGCTCTGTTTTACAGATGGGGATACATTGTCACTAAACAGAGTGTGGTCCTCTAGTGAACAGCAAATTAACAGCTGATGTGTTAAAGAAATAATAAATTTGGAAGCTGCATTCACGCAATGCCAATACGACTTGGGGTTGAATCTGAAGTGTGATTGGTAGTTATGAGTGTATTTCACATATTCCTTTGCCTAAACATTCAGATGTGACATATCTGCCTACATAGCCATATCCTGACCCTTTTCCATCCCGACACGTCACTAGAAAAGCAATAATAGGATTAAGCCTAGCAAAGGCAGGCAGCGCAAACGACTCAATTCACTATCCTCCTACATCCACCTTTTGAAGAAACTCCTGAAATTTTAATTAGAACTTTCTGATCTTAGTGTGTTTCAGCAAGGCAGCAGCGAATCCATTATGGATGTGGCTTCAGCTTTGCTATTGGCTAACACTGCGGGCTTTTCAGGGGTTTCCCAAACTCCATAGGATGTTCTATCAGTGAAGATTTTTTTCACTTTTACAGTTATGTATAAAAAAGGATATGGAACCTTGGCTTGTACATTCAGCCATATTATAATATTTACCATAGGTTTTTGACCCTACTATCTTAGAATTTTACTAACAAAGACCACACCAATAAAGATATGAATTAAGAGTAGTTTATTACATATTCTGTATGGAGGTGTAAGAGGATGCAGGAGGGATGGATGAAGGGAAGGGGGGTTAGGGTTGAGGGATGAGGAGAAATCAGGGTCATGGACGGATGGATGGAGTACAATGATGGACTGGTGTCAGTTGGTGGGATGACAGGAGAGAACCAGGGGAGTAGACACTCTGAGTGGGGGAGCTGTCTCACCATGTACTCTTGGTTTGGACAGAGCCCCAGTGGTTCCTATATTCACACAAGAGAGTTGGGAAAGGGAGAAAATATGGGGGAGAGGGATGTCAGAACTGCTTCAAAGGGTAGGGGAACAGATATGGTGTGAAGTACTTTTTGTGCTGAAATGGGATGTGTTCAAGGTGTGGTCTTGTTCCCGAACTTGGTTATAAAACTTAATTTATATTTCAAACCTGTACACACGAGTACCATTGTAGACGAGTATTTTAAAATATACTACAAAAAAAAGATATTAAAGCTGCAAGCAGTGTTGAACGGACCCTCATCAATGCCTCGGGTAGAGATACAGCTAGGGTCTCTACACAACAGGCCAGCTGACACAGCTCTAAAGTTACCAATGCATTATGTCACACATGGGAAGTATTGAAAATAACTGACAATTTTTGGTTGATGTGTCAGTTATTCAATTCAAAATGGGGCTTCCAGTTGGGTTTAGGGTGTCGTTCTCAAAAAACAGCCTCCTGTTTCATGGCAAATTATTCCTTGCTAAGGCAACAGCGTAGAAATTACAAATCTACATCCCAAATTTTGTACATCTAGGTGAAATCCAGGGGCTGTTTTGTTGAAAATTTGTAGGGGGCGCTGTTGAGCTGTTTTTCCTCACTGATGTCTCTGAACTATATCGGACAACAAAATATACACCTTATAAGGTGTGTGCCAAGTTTTGTGAATTTTCAAGCATCCTTAAAACAGCTTCCTGTTTCATGGTGAATAATCTATCGCCATGGCAACGGAGTTTGATGAATCGTAAAAAAGCTTCTCTGATTGCACTGCTAAAATTTGATGTGGATCAGAGACGTTGGGCAGGGGCTGCATCACTGAATTTGTAATGAGCTTTCGAGCTCTATTTCCACAACCATGATCCCAAACCATATTAGACACCAGAAAATTCTCCGTGTGTGTGCAAAGTTTTGAGATTTCAATCATTCTTAGCCTCTCAAAAAAGCGCTTCCTATTCATGGCGATTAATGCTTTTACAACAGCTCAAGTTTTTTACAAAATTACATCAAGGCCTTGAGGCTTTTCTGAGACAGTTTTGAGCCAAATCGGATCATCCTGCTAGAAGTACATCAAAGAATATAACATGTAATTTCCTGTTGCCAGTTGGTGGCGCTATGAATAAATATTGGCATGTTAAATATATTCAGGACACGACTCATCAAATCTGTGAAGTTTGGGGCAGATATGTCCATGTACAGTCCATTTACAAGCCACATCCTTTTCAAGTTCAACACCACGTCACGGACACTCCCTTCAACAGGCCTTCAGATTGCACTGCCTAAATTTGGAGACAATCTGCCTAAATCTTGAGGAGCTCACTAAAGGACGAGGCCTGTCAACATCAACACATCTTTTTTTTGCCACTCCAAAGACACAAAATTTAATGGCTCATAAAAACCTTTGCGATTAGCAACACAACAATCTTTAGACTGGACTGCCCAAATGTGAAGTTGATCAGATTACATTTCTAGGAGGAGTTTGTTAATATGGAGCCTGTAAATGGTGAAAAAGTTTGTGTAAAATTCAAAATGGCTAAGGGTATGGCTCCAAGAGGCCTATTTTTAAGTCTAGAGATGATACATTATATTTCATACAGATTGGTGAAACATATGGCAATGCGTTGTTGAAATTTTGTAGGCGGTGCTATTGTGCCATTTTTTCTTTTTCCCACAACCATGGCACACAACCATATCGTATAACAAAGTACACCCCTTTTCATGTGATTTCCAGTTTTTATATTTTTATGCATTTATTTACCATTTTGTTGGCATTGGTTTCATATTAGAACTGACTGTAGCAAAGATCTTAGTAGGAACACCTTGTGTTTTTTTTTTTTTTTTTTTTTAAATCTGAAGATTCAGAGGAGAATGTGCTTTATTTTACATTCACTGCTTTTCGGGCACATGTCTACCTTGGTTATTTTCAGGACACTAAAGAGGAAAGACGGAGCTAGAAGAGTGGCTTTTTATAACAGTTTGGCAGTTTAATGCCCCTTCGAAAAGATTTGCTTCTTTATTTATCTCTCTCAGTCTCTAATTCCCCTTTCTCTGATACATTTTATATATGTTCTTCTCTTTTAAATTGTCTGTCCATGTGTCTCACTGTTTCTGTCTGATTCTCCTTTTGTTTTATTCTTTTTCAGAACATTGAGGACCATGTGGCCTTTGTAATCACTGTGCCCACAGCACTGGCTATCTTCCTGGCTGTGTTTGTACTCGTCTGCATTGAGTCCATCTTCAAGAAGCTTCTCCGTGTTTTCTCCCTGGTCATCTGGGCCTGCCTGGTTGCCATGGGTTACCTTTTTATGTTTTCTGGCGGGATAATTTGTCCGTGGGATCAGGTAAGTCACAGATGTATTCTGTCATGGATTTATTTGTATCAGAGGAATATGTGATTTGTTTGTGTTTCTCCGGTTTTATTGGGTAATTTCAGGAAAAATTTAGTGGCTTAAGGAAAAGCCAATACTTTGAATACACAGTACAGTACATGGATCACTCCTAACAAGTACTATCTCTTGAAAATTAAATGCTGTATTATCTCAACAAACCAAACTTTAAATTGTCCAATCTAAGCACATAAATAAGCGACCATTGATTCAAACATTTTTTACTCCATTTTCCCGTGATAATAGGATCGTTTTCTTGAGATTTCAAGATAACAAAACAGTAGTTTAACACAGTGGTTTAATAGTAATTTCAGTATGAATATAGTAAGTATCACTGGTTAACTCAGAGCAAAGGACTGATACTCTTGGAGTTGACAGCTGACATCTCCTGTGGTGAATTACAAGATCTGTGGGAATTTTGTTGGCTTTAGAAGTGCACATTCTGTACAAGTTAACCAGATAAACCCAGCCATATGCATACCTAGATCATTCCAACTTGTGTTTTGTCCGTGGAAATATTTATTTTTTCAGAAAACGAGTGAAATCTGGCAGAAAGAGAAGCAAGATATTTGACTTGGCTTTTTCTCACTGGTTTTCTGTTCTGCTTGAGTTGGCTTATACCTAATACTTAAACATTTTCAACTGATTTCCAGTCCAAACATGTTTTTTTAAGTCTATGCTGAGAGAGGGTGGAGTGTAGATTGTGAGTTATAATGAACATGGACAAATGTGAAATAACTTAGGGATTCAGATGGCTTGGAAAAAAAGAACTCCGAAAGCTTTTATTTCATCTCTTGTGGTATCTGACCTACATTCTGTAACAGGGTGTCTTTCAAGTTTTGGCTTGATCACGCACAAGCTCAAGTGCTTCCTGACATCTCATATTTGTTTTTTTTCCTGTCTCTGCTTCAGAAAGTAAATTAATATAGAAGATTTTAGAAGATCTTAAAAAAATGACCATAGCTACAACTGATCCTGTTCAGTAAAACCAATTAAATGACATGGTCTTCACCAGTATTAATAATTTATTTATCTAAGCATAATTGATTGTTATTGTCAATTAAAGAAACCCTCCTACCTTAATTGTCATGGGTTTATAAAATAATATTCTCCTAGACAGGTTAGTCTCCCTGACTAAGGATGGGTATTGTTAAATTGTAAAAGACTTTAACTATCAGTCTTTATTGATATCACTATCGATACTTTTCTATTATTTGGTGGTGGAAAGTTGGTGGTGTCCCAGCTCAAACAAGAAAGTAACTTGGAACATAAACAGCATTTCACTTCCTCATCTTTGGGTTATGTGAAATGAAGCCACGCCTTTGACCACTTTGCACGTTCAGCAATCCTAGCAAGCAACCAGTTGAACCAGTTGAGAAATGAAGTGAACTAGGGCGTGTGGTAGGCCCGGACAATCTGAGGAAAATCTGTGAGGTGCAATAACATTGTTCAATATTGCGATGATGATTTCACTTGTGATAAATAAACAAATAATGAATATTGCATATTAGCTGCTGTTATTCACTGCCTGCAGGTTACCTTACCTGGAGCAGCTGGTTTGTCTCAGCCAGCAGCTGGTTTTACAACAATGTGCAAATTTTAAGCAACGTGGCAAATTAGGCTGAACAGTTAGACTACAGACAGACAGTTTTTAATCTAGCTTGTTTGTGACATTTGTCTAATTGACAAGCTAATGTTACACAAGTGTAAAAACATAGAGGATTAAAGACTGGACAGAGTACATAAAAAAAAAAAAGACGCTTTCTACGTGTTTATGCTTTTTGAGCAGATGTATTGATACGATTTGTCTTTTTTCCTTGTGAAGGTTTTCTGCATGTACTTAAAGTTAAAGAGTGTGGCTGTCATCAACTGGAGTAGTTTGGAGTTAAGTTACCTTCACTTCACTGTCTCCACTGTGACCGGCTGCTGTGTGTATGTAGGAGCCAACACAGAGAGCAGGCAGAGGCTGCAGCCTGATAATAAACGCTACAGTCTTTAGCCCCAGGCCCGTTTAACACTGCATTTTGGTGCTATTTAGATCACTAAATAACTTCAGTTTTATTATTCATCACGTTTCAGGTTAAATCAGATTTAATTTAAATGACAGGACTCTCGTCTCTCAAGACATAACTTCACATCATAGGAGCCGCTAGTCTTGGTAGCCTAGAAGTATCGATAAACTTGGACCTTATTGATTTTTGGGTTTTGAGAAATTTGAAATTGGATCCTTTTTATAGAGCTGGGTTTCAGTCAGCATCCCTATATCTGACTTTCCTAAACAGCTTTGGTTCAAATGTCATTTACTGTGTTTTATTTGGCACTTTCCTCTAAACTTAATGAAATTAGTTAATCAAATTATATAATGCCTTTAGAAGGCACAGCAGAAATTTGAAGTCGATCGGACTAAATCCCTAGGAGGGGTGTGTGTGTGTGTGTGTGTGTGTGTGTGTGTGTAAATCATCCAAAAATTGCCATAAAATTAAAAATGGCCGACTTCCTGTTGGGTTTAGGGCATCGCTCCAAGAGGCTTTTTGGTATGTCTGGACTACAAAGTGTGACACTTTGAGGCTACAATACTGAACCTTTTCACAATATTCTAATTTTCTGAGATATTGAATTTGGGGTTTTCATAAGCTGTAAGCCATAATCATCGAATTTATATCAAATAAAGGCTTGAAATATCTCACTTTGCATGTAATGAGTCTATATAATATATTCGTTTCACCTTTTAAGTTGAATTACTGAAATGAACTTTTGCACAATATGCAAATTATTCAAGTTTCACCTGTATTCACTAAATATGTAAGTTTGATTACAACCCTCTCAGTACTATGCAGCATCAAATCAGTCAGAATGCATAAAAAATGCTGCTGTTCTGAAACAAATTTGTATGGACTATATTTTGCAGCAGTAGCACATTAGACTTACAAGTAAAGCTTAATCTATATCAGTGGTCCAATGCTGATATTTAGAGTGCAGAGTGGCCAATGGCCAATATATATTGCTGAAATCAAAACAAAAAAAGTCATGTATAATTCCATTAATTCATGCTGTTTTAGATTTTTAAATGAAATACACTGGCTTATGCTTTAGATTTCAAAATGTGACTAGTGTTTAAGGAAGAGTGGGGTACAATATGTCAGAACAAGCGGCATTATTCTCTACAGTATACCATTATACTTTTAATGCTAACCAGAAATGGTTTTAGATTAGATGTGCTGTCATTTAGGATAGGAAAAATGTGTTACCATTTAGAAAAGATGATGGTGACTGAGGAGATTTAGGCTCAAAAACTAACTTTTTCACCACCTTCCCAGGACTCACAAGGGGGGGTGCTAACATCATTCCATTTTCTTTGTTTATTCTTTGATAATGTTTATTGGTCTTGTTAGTGTAGGTATCGGCTAATGCAGATTATGTAAAAATGCCAGTAATGCTACATATACACTCACCTGCCACTTTATTAGGTACACCTGTTCAATTGCTTGTAAACACAAATAGCTAATCAGCCAATCGCATGGCAGCAACTCAGTGCATTTAGGCATGTAGACGTGGTTAAGACAACTTGGTGAAGTTCAAACCGAGCATCAGAATGGGGAATGTGGCATGGTTGTTGGTGTCAGACGGGCTGGTCTGAGTATTTCAGAAACTGCTGATCCACTGGGATTTTCACACACAAGCATCTCTAGGAATTACAGAGAATGATCTGAAAATGAAAAAATATCCAGTGAGTTGTGTGGACGAAAATGCCTTGCTGATGTCAGAGGAGAATGAGCAGACTGGTTTGAGATGACAGAAAGAAGTGACTCAAATAACCACTCGTTACAACCAAGGTATGCAGAATACCATCTCTGAATGCACAACACATCGAACCTTGAAGCAGGTGGGCTACAGAAGACCACACCGCGTGCCACTCCTGTCAGCTGAGAACAGGACACTGAGGCTACAGTTCGCACTGGCTCACCGGAATTGGACAATAGAAGATTGGAAAAAAACGTTGCCTGGTCTGAGTCTCGATTACAGATGGTACGGTCAGAATTTGCCATAAATAACATGAAAGCATGGATCCATCCTGCCTTGTATCAACGGTTCAGGCTGGTGGTGGTGTAATGGTGTGGGGGACATTTTCTTGGCACGTTTTGGGCCCCTAAGTACCAACTGAGCATAAATGTGACAGCATACCTGAGTATTGTTGCTGACCATGCCCATCCCTTTGACACAGTGTACCCATCTTCTGATGGCTACTTCCAGCAGGATAATGCACCATGTCACAAAGCTCCAATCATCTCAAACTGGTTTCTTGAACATGACAATGAGTTCACTGTACTCCAGTGGCCTCCAGTCACCAGATCTCAATCCAATAGAGCACCTTTGGTATGTGGTGGAACCAGGATTTGTATCACGGATGTGCAGCCAACAAATCTGCAGCAACTGCGTGATGCTATCCTGTCAATATGGACCTCTGAGGAATGTTTCCAACACATTTTTGAAAGTATGCCACAAAGAATTAAAGCAGTTCTGAAGGCAAAAGTGCAAGATGTCCCTAACAAAGTGGCCAGTGAGTGTATATGCTTTGTGTTTTACAGTCTGTATCAACATTACATCTCCAGTTAAATAAATTACATCTACAAATATTGGTGGATTTTCTCATCAAACCTGTCAAGAAGGCTATCACCAACGGCATTATGGATACCCAAAGTATGAATTCAAAAACACAATCGGAAAACTTGATGACATTTCTTTATATTTCCAACTTGTTTGCTTCGATGTGGATGTTGTTTCTGGTCCTCCTTTGTTTTCATTGAATTTTGAATGCTTTCTTTCCATTTCTAAGCTTTGAGATATTAGTTTTCTTAGTATGATCTCAAATCATTTATGCACAAGTTACTGAACACTCTCCTATCACCATCATGAAATATATAAAAAGCGTTTGATTCAAATTAAATCGGTTTATT